TAGAAAAACTTACAACGTAAACTTTTTCAGCATTATAAAATTTATTTATCAGTATTATAATATGTACAAAGATATCTTTTCGAATCTTTCTTTCTTATCTCATATTAAGATTTTTAAAATTTTAATTAGATTAATCAGATCATTCACGTTTTTATAAACGGTTATATAAAACAGTACATTGATTATTTCAGTGATTTATTCATTCAATGTAACTAATCACAAAAACTTTTATGAATACTAATATATTGTTAATATTAATAACTCGTATCAGGTATCACCTGGTACATCTAGTTAGACGTTCATGATCTACTGCGACAGTTCAGAAATTCTGTGTCAAGGTATTGCGTAAAAAGAGATTAATAATAACATCAAACAGGAATCTAAATTGATGTCTCAACCAACTGAAATGTTACGTTCAATGCTTTCAGAAACAATCTCTTAAGAATATGCATTCAACACTGGATCGAAAAGTAACACGGGAGAAGAGACATTCATAATAAGCAATATAACTTTGCGCCGCATGTCATATTTACTATATCGGTTCCAAGATTAAATGCCAATTCTTTCCAGTAACTTATACATAATATTATATCACGTATTTATTATTGTAGGACAGGAATGTACGGAGACAGAAATGTTTTTCGAAAGAATAAGCTCGCACGCATGCCGAAACAACGTGATCTCAAAGAGAATTTGTTCAATGTCGCTCGACCACGTGGTGGAAATTCGGCAAAGTGACCACGCGTCGCGACGCACCCATAAATGGCGCGAGCGGTGGTCCACGGTCGTACAACCAACCCCACCACGATGTGTGATAGTCGAGACCAACGGGGCTTCTCCAAAAATAGGACAACGACGACAAGGGACCGTCCCGACGTCGACGTCGACGTCGACGTCGTCGTCGTCGTTGTCGTCGAATGACAGTGCTCTCGACGTTGTTTCTTCCCGCTTGTAGTTTGTTCAGATACATTTCTTCGACGCATCGCCTCTTACGCGAGAGTTTGTCTTGTAGGAATTGTACAAACAGTTGAGCAAAGCGTTTTCATTGCAAGAATTGAACCAACTGAAGTTTTTCACTTAAATCCGTAAAGTGTCGAAACAAGCGTGTATTCGCTGCTCAACGTTAATTGATAAAAAATAATTGTAATTGATGAAAAAAATTAAATAATAATATAATTAATATAAGTGCATATAACATAATATTAATGTTATT